TTTACTTAGGGAAATAGTGTTGATTTGAATTTAGATTTAGAAAGAAATTAGAAAGATTTATTTAGGAAAAAGGTCTAATTTGTATTCAGATTTACGAGAGAATTACTTAGGAAAAGATGGTTGATTTGAATTCAGATTTAGGAGGAAATTAGAGGAGCCTAATTAAGGCTAAGAATATGGTGATTTCATAATTAAGTTGTGAGTTTGCTAAAATTAGAATTTCTTAGGTTGAGGGCTCTAGACGCCGGCTAGGGATGTGAGAGAGCTGAATCTTCCTCTCCAATTGAAGATCCAACTATATCTTGCTATTTTCTTTCATATATCTTGAAATAAAAATAGTTTTGATGTGTTCTTCTTTTGAATTTCTTGTTGTCATTTGCAAATTTCGAGGAAATTGTATCCACTTCCTATCAAATTGGTATCAGAGCGGTGTCCTGAGCTGAAATTAAGGCCTTTCCTTGCCAATTTCTATTGTGTTTTTCCCTCCAATGTGTTGATTTCTGATATTTGAAGACCAGAATTATTGTTTTTTGTGGTTTGGAGCCTTGCTCCAAGTATCTATGGCGATAAGAAAGGTAAAAGTGTTGGAGGGGGAGATCAGACAATTGGAATATGAAATTTTGGATCTCCAAACACAATTTTCAAATTTCAGCCTTCCATGAGAAGATCGATGAGAAATGTTTCATCCTGGAGGAGATGTTGAAGAAGTTGGTCGAGGGCCAACCAAAGATGGTCTCGTTGAAGGCGAGGGAAGCCGCCAACATCCAAGGAAGTGGGAAAAACCCTAATCCAATAATGCGAAAGAAAGATCAGGAGGGGAGATTTTGGAGGGAGAAGAGAGAATGCCTCCCCTATAGTCTATTATTCCTAAGGAGGTGCGTGAAGGGGTTGAGCATGAACGAAGGGGTGCTGAATTTGAGAGGAGAGTGGTAGGATTTGAAAGCAGAGGGACTGATTATGATCGAAAGGGTGCTGAATTTGAAAGAAGATGGGGTAAATTTGAAAGGAGAATGACTGATTATGATCCAAGGGATGCTAAATTTGAAAGGAGAATGTGAAATTTTCACGAAAGGGTTAGGTACGAGCGTAGAAGAGATGATTGGGACACTTGGGGCAACTACCCCCTTGGAGAATGAAAATTATGGAGGAAACAGGGGGAACGAAGAAGATCCAAAGATTAGGAAGCTAAAAATGCATATTTTTTAGCGAGAGGATGCACAACGGTGGATATATAAGGTGGAAATATATTTTACCATCAATAGTGTTGACGAATATTTTCGCATCGACTCAACCCCGATCGAGCCCGACCAAGCTCGATCGCGCTCGATCAAATAAATCGATCATCGTCGAGGTGAAATTAATCCAATTAAGCCTCAATTTTATTAAATTAAATCAAATTTAATTTAATTTAAATCAAATCAAAACCAATCGAACCCTGTCGAGACTTTCATGGATTTTAAAACAACAAAAATCAAATTTTAGCCAACATTTAAACGACTTCAAAAGAAAGAAAACCACTAGTTTAATCAAAAGTGTTCCCAAATCAAACTTGGGATGTAATTAACCATAGGGGCTTGCCCCTATGGGATGTCTGTACCCCAGAAATAAATAAACCCCGCTCGACCAAACATCGAGTGGGGGAATCTCTGTTAAATAATTGTAAATTTTATGATTGAGTCCATAAGGAGATGATATTTTTACCCTCCGGGGTAATATATCATATTCTTATGCCGCACCCGATTATAAAATATGCAATCCGTTTGAGGATACAAAAATTCTCCAACAAATAGATTGATGGAGTAGGAGAGACTGATGGCGGCGGTATGTGCTTGGAGGGGATAGCGTTGGTATGATACTAGTGGAAGGATACGAGGTGACCCATATGGGCCTTGAAGGGAGTTTAATAACTTCTTGCTAGAACGTTTTTGAACTAGTAGGGGAGGGGACTTCTATAAGCAATTTCTCCCTGACATAGGAAGGGACGGTAGTGGAGTATCGTAAGCACTTGGCCAACCGACTAAATCGACTTGATGAGATTGTACTGGAGGGGAACTTAATGAAAGTGCACGAGAGATTCGGACAATAGTTCGAGTGATGAGGCCCCGTGATTTAGGAGAGGCTATGGAGCTAGCCCGGTTAGTGAAGGTTCAAAGACACCTAGAGAGAGGTGCTGGAGGCAGCAGCTCAGGACATTCGTACAAGTTGACCACCACCTTTATGGCATCCTAGAAGCCGACACCAGGTATTCTTAAGGAGACCCCGAAGGAGCAGACTATAGGAGGGAGACCTGGGAAAAAACTTCAAGAAGCTTACAAAAACTGAGTTATAGGAAAAGAGGGCAAAGGGGTTGTATTTTTGATGCAAGGAGAGGTATACACCAGGTGTAAGAACTAAACTCTTTAGGTGCTCACCATATGTGAGGCTCCAAAAATTGGGGAAGGAGCCATCATTCCACCTTGCAGACAAAATGGATCTTTGAGAGGAGAGTATTGATGAATAGACATATTTGATTGGGAGGGAATTATGAATGTTTAGTTAGAGAAAGAGAGTTTATTTGATTGAGAGGAAATTATGAAGGTTTATTTAGAAAAAAAGGGTTGATTTGATTAGAAGGAAATTAAGAAGGTTTATTTAGGAAAAGCGGACTGATTTAAATACAAATTTGGAAGAAAATTATAAAGGTTTATTTAGGGAAAGATGGCTGATTTGAATTCAGATTTGAGAGGGAATTATTGAGGGAAAGATGACTGATTTCAATTCAGATTTGAGAGGGAATTAGAGCAGCCTATTTAAGGCAACAATATGGTGATTTTAGGATTATGTTTTGAATTTGCTGAAATTAGAATTTCTTAGATTGTGAGGGTTTCAGCTGCCAACTAGGGATTTGGGAGAGTCCGATTTTCCTCTCCAATTGAAGATCTAACTATATCTTACTATTTTCTTCATATATCTTGCACTAAAAATAGTTTTGATGTGTTATTGTTCCTAATTTTTTATTGTTGTTTGCTGATTTTGAGGAAATTGGATCCACTTTCTATCAGGTTTTCTTCATCTTCTTGATGGTTTCCTTCATTTTGGTTTTCAGTTGAGTGAAAAAGTTCCATCACTGCAAGCCGCTCCAGTAATTGACAAATTTCCCTTTGTAATTCGTCAATAGATGTTTCTTGAACGAGACGTGGATTTATTCTTCTTGGTGACATACTGGATGGCTTTGATACCAAACGACACTGAAAAATTGTATAAAACAAGAAAAAAAGGCAAATAACATATAACTATTAATACTAGACCTCTTGAAGGCTAAAGAAGATCAGATGTGGAGCTATGCTACAGCTTTCTTGAGCACGAAGAAGGGGACAACAGCTTTCGTGACCAGGAAGAAGAGGAAAACAGCTATCTTTGACCAAAAAGAAGGGGACAGCAGCTTTCTTTGAACAGAAAGGAGTGGGCAAGCAGCTGATTGGATTGTCTGGATAAGTAAGAGCAGCCTACAGGGGGCGGAGATGCTGGAGGGCTGGAACGAAAGGGGTGGAAAGCCTTTCCGCGTGAGGAAGTAGGGAAAGAACACCTGCGGCCCCCGCTGGAATGAAGGACAGACAGCTGGGAAGAGGAAGGAGTCGGCCACCACCCGGAGGAATCCAGGATACAGGAGAACAGCTCTAGCTATTCCTACTAAATTCCAAAATCTGTCTTCTAAGTGTTAAGGACCCTCTATTTATAGAGTGATTATTCCGTCAAGTTACCGAATGCATCCAGAAATCATTAAAAAAACGCCCAGTCACTAAAGTGCTCGGTATAGGCGCTCGGTACAGCCGAAGACTAGTAATAAGTGAATAAAATGAAAATAAAGAAATAATACTTAATAAAAGAAAATAAAGAACTAAACAAAAAGGAGAGCAGGTGGGGTCGGTTCGCTATTTGAACCCGCCCAGCTTCAGTGTCACTATCTCTCTTATTTTTACACCAGAACCCAATCTTCTTATTCCTCTTTCTATAAAGCAACTAAATTTTATAATTAGTCATTGAAAATGTTAGATGTAATAGCAATTATATAGAAAAACCATCAGAAAAAGAAAGACAAAATACAAGGGATTACTATAACATACACCATGGCGATTAATGTCTATCTAAGCCGAAATTTAAATACCTGCTATGTTTAGCCAAAAACAATCAAGAAAGTCACTAGTCTAGTATTAAATCTAACAATATGGGATAATTGAGAAATAATTTTTTTTTTCTGATTAGTGCATCAACAATAAAACACCAACTAAAATCTTATATCCACTAAACAAGATAACTACTAATAAAATTTTGAGACGGTGCTGAGTTTCAATCATCAACAATCTCTACTTCAAAACAATTAAACGTTGCATTGGTGAACACAGTAGTAATATGATCGAATGACGGTAGAAGCAAGTTCACATAGCTTGAGTTAATTTTGGAACAAATTTGATACCAAATTCATTCACAGTTGAATCGTTTAAGTCTAGTTATTTCTCAACTTGTATCAAAACATAAGCCTGAATCAAGTTACATGTAGGGAAACAAACTAAGAAAAAAAGGACTATCTGCTATCTAGCCCATAACCAGAGAGGCAGTGGACCATTTATCCCAACATTCAAGGCGTTAGGCATGGCTAATTACCGCTGCAGTATGCAACACTACTACACTGCCAGAAGGATCATTGAAGAATGCTGTTTAACGTTTGGTTTGAAAATCAAAACTACCAATGCTTGGGGTAAAGTACAAGTAACCAGTATGTAACAAGAATCTAATCAATTTGAAATATATGAAAATAGGGTAATGACCCCACTAAATCAGAGAGATAAAACACTAGATACATATGAATAAGTCTAGAAGCATTCTAAATTAAGTTCATGAGAAGAGATGTTTGGCATCTCTGATATATAAAAGATCAAGCAACATTCTTGAATTTGAAAAAAGAGCAAGAATGCTTAGATTAATATTCAAAAAATAAATCATTAGTTAAATAAACATTGCACCTGTGCTAAGAACAATTGTATCCTTTGCACGTCCTTCAAGAACAAGCATGCCTCCACATTGACGACTCATCCCAGTAGAATGTTTAGGCACAATCCAGCCAATATCACCACTGTTAAACCATCCATCTTCATCTATAGCTTCACCGGTAGCAGATTCATTCTATTAGAAAATTAAAGATATAAACGTTAAAAGTCCCCAATCACTTGAAATAGAAGATCATAGAAAAAATAGATTCTACTATGATAGAAGAGCAAAGATTTCAACATAGAAGTTCCACTCCTATGGCTGGTATTCTGAGTATCTTCCACACAAGCATATTGCATTCACTATGAGGACATATAGTCTTAAATACATCCATAATTATTCTAGGTAACCTTTATCATTAAGGACCTCCATGTGTGATCCACAGACCAATTTATTCAAATATGATGCAATGGCCCAAAAATCAATTTAGAATGTCTTGAACCCACACTCATTTCATCTAACTATTTTGATGCATTCAAAATGCCAAAATGATCCAAATAGACCAAACTATACCACTCAAGGTGCAATACCAAAAATGATCAACACGAGACAAAGCAGAGTGGGGATAAATTTCATCAACATATATATATATATATATATATATATATTGAATATTTTGCCTGTTGATATATTCACGTTCCCCATTTCATTCCCAAGATGGCTCCTACAAAAATTCCCCTACAACCTTGTTGGGCTAAAAAAAAATGACGTGTCGGCATGAATCCCGCTTTATATGCATAGATTGTAATTAACCAGATTTTCTTTAATAGTAGAGTCAGTGTTCAATTAGATCTTGATGCGGACATCAGATCTTGAAAGGTCTTTCAGAGACGTGACTGACGATCGACGGCCACGATTGCGCCGATCTACTTTTGAGCCTTCATATGTATTTGTTTTATTTATTTCCTTTATGTATTTGTTTTAGTAGTTTTTCCCGTTTTGCCCTTACTAAAGGGAATTGTCATATGTACGCCCTAGGGGCAATGTCATCTTTTATTTCCCTTTCATTGTAGGAGGCTATATATAAGCCCCATATGTTTCTTTTGAAATTAATGAATGAATTATAATGAAATTTCTGCATATTGAGTTCTTGTGAGAGCTTGAAGAATCTTTGGAAAGGAATCCCTAGGAGAGGGAAGCGGATCACCCACCAACCTTGGAAGAGTTCGGGTTCGTGGCTTTCTTGTTATTCTTTATCCTTTCTTTCATCTTCCCCTTCCACCTTGCCGTTGGCTTAGGGTTTCCCAACCCCAAAATCACCGGCCTTTACTTCAATCCCAAGCCCCACCACCGACCAATACTCCTTCCCCTTCCCACCAAGTCGACGACCATCCAAGGTGACTCACCCCTTGATGGGTTGATCCACTTAATTCCCACCACCACGCCTTCAAAACCCACAAACCCTAACCCTAATCGTAGCCCTTGCCGCCGGCCACCCCATCTCCCTCTTTGCCTTCAAAATTCAAATCTCTCCATTACTTCTTTCCTTTTCCCTATGAATCACTTTGGGAAAGCTTTCAATCCAATCAACTAATCAAATTTTGAAATTTGAATTATTTCCTAAAATAGAGTTCTATTTTAGGAAATTTCTCCAATCAAGTTCAAATCAAATTTGAATTGGATTGGAATTAATTTCCCCTCCTTGATTTGGAATTCCCAAAGAGGCGAGCAATAAAAACTTTCCCCAATCTCCTTTCCCCTTCTTGAAGCCGCCAGTCCCCTCTCTCTACCCGCCCATCCTCTCTCTCTAATCCCCTTGATTTGTTTCCAAAGGAAAAACCTTAATTCTTGGAAACTTTCAATCCCTTCTCCCTCCACATTAATCCCCTTCCATATTTGGCCTTTTGTATTTTAGGAAAGTCCCATAAATTAAGCCCAAATCAAATTCAAATTGAATTAAATTTAATTTCTCTTTCCCATTTAAAGGTTCTTGATATGGTAAGCCAGACCTCCTCCCCAAGCCCCCCAAAACCCATACATGTCGCCGGCCCCCATGCATGTCCCCTACTTGAATGCTTTCCAAATATCAAGTCTCTTTCTTTGTGAAGAATTCAAAATTTTCTCTCCCCTACCCGCCCCCTTCCTCTCTCCAAATCCCCAATAAATCCTTTCCAAATTAAGGGATTAATTAGGGGAAATATTTTATTAATTCTCTCAATTTTTTTCTTTGAAATTCAAATTTCAAATACCCCATCTTTACTTGGCCAAATCAGAAATATAATTTCAGATTTCTCTATTGGAAAGAAGTTGCTTTCCTTAGCATTAGCCGGCCATCACCTTCCCATCCCCTCCTTGCTCCCTAAGTCATTCAAAACCCTAGTTCTAGGGTTGTCACATTGCTATCCAGAATTTTCAAAAAGTGTCGGGAAGTTGTCCCGCTACTCGGAGATCACCATGTGCTACCCGGGAGATTCAAGTTGCTACCAAATAAAATCCCAGCCGAGATTAGTTTGATGTCCACCATCCCAAGATCATCAAATTGCAGCTCCTAGGGCAGCTAAGAGCTGAGAACTATTGCCTACCATCCTTTCAAGCACTCAAACCGGAGCTTCGTATTGCTTCTCCTTTGGATAAACTCTTCCTCCAACTGGTCACTTTTCAATTGTGATTTTTGTTTGATTCACAACGATAATGATAATTTTCTCTGCTAAAATCCTAGTAAATTAGAGAGTTGCGTGAGGGATCATTGTATAGCGATTAATCTTATTATTAGCATAGAGATTTTTGTTGAAAACCTTCCATGTATGCAACGATAGATTAATTGACTATTTTAGGATCTTAACTCCTACACATGTGATTTGGCCTAAGCTTGTTTTATCGCCTTATGGTTTTGTCTTATCGTTTAAAATCAACAAAAGTTTTGCTTATTATTGTTCTCTAAATTTAAAACGTGCAAATTTCTTATTCCAATCATCTTTGCATTTATGTCGTACATCATCTGTTATCAGAGCATGGTTTGCTCAAGTTGCATGTACTAGGATTCATCTTAGAGTTCTAACTAACCATCTTTAAGTTTCATTAGTGTTTAACATTGCATCCATTTGGCACAACACATTGTTTGTTTGCTGTTCATTCAATTTCTGGATCATATCGCAAGTCCTAAGTATGTTTCCCATTAGTATAAGTGTTGTCCTTTACATCCCATCAATCCTTAGTATCTTGTAGCGTATTCTTATGGACCCGGAACACCTTGGCAGGATTTTAAACTTGTTGGTAGGTTAAATGAACACCATTAACCAGCAACTCAAGAAAAACAAGGCTGTCATCGTTAAACTCCGTAGAACTACCACTGACCGATTTGATACCATAGATCGAGGTAGGAACCACCAGACTCCTTACACATCCATCTAGACCTCCTTCCATGTACGGGGACAATCCTTTTCCAGATGAAGGACCACCTCGTGCCCCTTATCGAGCTCCCTAGTACAGACATAATTAACCTTAACCACGATCCTGACATACCCCCGATGAAGAACATTAAGGTCGATGCTCCAACCTTTGATGGGACTCTCGATCCCCAGCTTTTCCTGGACTGAATCAAAGGTATGGATAGCTTCTTTAAGTGATACAATATTTCCGAAGCTAAGAAGGTTAGTTTTGTCGAGATGAAACTCACTAGTAGGGCTAGTCATTTTTGGTCAAACTTAGAAAGCCTTAGAGAAGCCCATAATGAGTATCCCATCACTGATTGGCCATCAAAGAAGCGTGAGCTCAAGCTGAAGTACTTGTCTCCCTCGTACTTCTCCAGGCTCTTGGATAGGTGGAATAGGTTGACTCAAGGCAACAAACTGATCAAAGATTACATCGCATCTTTTGATGACTATCGGATTCGTTGCAAAGGGGAGACCTCCACTACCCCCGCGCAGATTCTGTCCATGTTTCGTACGAACTGTTTGCCCGGAACATCATTACCCTTGAAAATGCCTACAATTAGTGTTAGACCTGGAGGAAACCTGTTCCCAACACCCTAGTCGACACCACGACTCTAGGCCTTCCTATAGACGTTCCGGTAGTTCCACTCCTCACACCTCCATTGCCCAGCCGATCCCACGGAGCACTACCCGACCATTGTCAGGTCCCCTCACCCCCTATCATGTTGTTAGAAGTAAACCTCCCACTCCAGATACCCCTCGGCCGAACTCCGGGACCAAGTGCTTTAGATGTCAGGGGTATGGGCATATCGCTTCTCAGTGCTCTAGTCCCTACAAAATCACGATTATCGAAAAGGTCACTGAAGAGGAATTTGAGCCCGAAGTCGACCTGATTCACCAAGTGGACGATGGCGGTGAATTCTTTGAGGAGGATGACGACACTGCTGTCATCCAGTACATTCAGAAAGTTGACACTTCTCCCACCTACATGGTGAGATGTGTATTGTCACAACCCGTTGCCACCAACGACTGGCGTAGAACTACGATCTTTCATACCTACACCAAAATCAACGATAAAAATTGTAAAGTCATTGTGGATAGTGGCAGCTGCATCAATGTTGTCTCCTCTAGCATGGTGCATGTCTGCTGTTTCTCACTTCAACCCCTATAAGGTAGCTTAGGTCAAGACCATTGCCTATAAGCTAAGCTGCCCATTAGTTTTGAATTTGGTGGATAGGTCTTACGAATCACTTAGAAGTTGCTTAGTTATTTGTAGGAGTGTTAGGGATTTTGTACTTCATTTTAAATTTTTTTCCTAACATATGGGACTTATGACTTAACTTAAAAGTAGCCTGTTGGTGGGTCTTACAACCTAACCCTATAGATTATGATGCCTGAGAGTTTTGATTTGGATAGGTCTTGCGGTTCCCTTAGAAGTTTCCTAATGATGGATCTTACAATCTAGCTCTGTAAGCTAAGTGGCCCGTTGGTAGGTCTTACAACCTAGTCCTATAAGCTAAGCTGCCTTTTAATTTTGAATTTGGTTGATAGGTCTTTCGACTCCTTTAGAAGTTGCCTAGTTATTTGTAAGTGTGTTAGAGTTGTTGTACTTCATTTAAAAAATTTTTCCTAACGTATGGGACTTAGGACTTCACTTAAAAGTAGTCTGCTGATGGGTCTTACAACCTAACTCTATAGATTAGGATGCCTGAGAGTTTTGATTTGAATAAGTATTACAACTCTTTTAGAAGTTGCCAAACGATG